TCGGCGATCAACAACTTATATATATGCCAGATCGGTAGTCAACAGCTTATATATATGCTAGATCGGCGATCAACAACTTATATATATGCCAGATCGGTAGTCAACAGCTTATATATATGCCAGATTGGCAATCAACAACTTATATATATGCCAGATCGGTAGTCAACAGCTTATATATATGCCAGATCGGCAATCAACAGCTTATATATATGCCAGATCGGTAGTCAACAGCTTATATATATGCTAGATCGGCGATCAACAACTTATATATATGCCAGATCGGTAGTCAACAGCTTATATATATGCTAGATCGGCGATCAACAACTTATATATATGCCAGATCGGTAGTCAACAGCTTATATATATGCCAGATCGGCAATCAACAGCTTATATATATGCTAGATCGGCGATCAACAACTTATATATATGCCAGATCGGCGATCAACAACTTATATATATGCCAGATCGGTAGTCAACAGCTTATATATATGCTAGATCGGCGATCAACAACTTATATATATGCCAGATCGGTAGTCAACAGCTTATATATATGCTAGATCGGCGATCAACAACTTATATATATGCCAGATCGGTGGTCAACAGCTTATATTTATCCTAGATCAACTATTAATAGCTTATATATATATGAGATCAGCTATACTTAGTTTATATATAGTGTCAATTAGTTGTTATCAGCTTACATAATCTTGCATAATATTGCATAATTATATATAGGCACATATAAGAGAATTTAAACATATATAAAAATATAAAAAATAAAGTTTGTGTGACATACGTCATTATGCATATTCGCGTAATGTAAACAATACAATTGTATTGCTGAAAAAAATTGGTAACTTTTGGCTATACTTGTTATATAACGTGCATAATCATGCATAATCTTGCATAAATGATCTACGTAAACAATACCATTGAATTTGTGGGAAAAAATGACAAAAAATTGCTTTTTTCGCAAAAATTTCCTTTTTTGGTTAGTCTGAATGCACCTAGCGTGAGAAGTCTTGGCATTTTTAGTGTGGGAAGATAGGTTATATAAATAACAACTATGTAAAAGCTTGGCATGGAAAAACATTTAACTTTAATCTATCAAAAAGCCGTTCCGACAATAATTAAATATATCTCTTCTAATGAAAGTTCAAATTCTTACTAAGTAATAATTTTTTAATTTTTTTTGCTATATAAAGAAAATTTAGTAGTATAATATAAAAGTATCAAAATATGTAAAGAGCAAGTACAGAATTAATAAAAATTAATTTTCATATTTTTTTACTAATTTTCTTATAAAAATCAAAATATTATTATATAAATCAATAAAAAAATATATGAACAAGTCAACTTATTAATATTTATTATAATTTTAATGTATTTATATACTATATATATATATATAAAGATTATAAAAGAGTTGTGAATATATATAAAATTAAAGATTAAATATGATTAGAGTATGTAACTTATATTTGACGAGATGATCGGATATGACTTGGATATTGACAAGTGTGAATATATATAATGTGATAGATCTAATGGTATTGACTAATATCAGAGATAGATAAGATGTTATAGGCTAATATTAGTAATAAATCAAATGTTATTGGCTAATATTGATTATATATTATATTTTATTAACTTATATAAGTAGTAAATTGGATGTGATAAGTATATATATATAATATAAATTGACTGTTATTGATTTATATATATATCAGATCAGATATCATTTATTTATATATATACTAGATCAGCAGTGTTCAGCTTATATATGTATGAGATTGACTGTTATCTACTTATATATATATCAGATTGGATATCATATGTTTATATATAGTGCAGATCATTTGTTATTAGCTTATATATATACCCAATTGGCAGTCAACAGCTTATATATATACTAGATTGGCTAATATCAGCTTATATATGTATGAGATAGACTGTTAATAGTTTATATATATATAGCTGATTGGCAGTCAACAATTTATATATATACCAGATCAGCTATCATCAGCTTATATATATATCAGATTGAGTATCATATGTTTATATATAGTGTGGATCACCTGTTATCAGCTTATATATATACCCAATTGGTGGTCAACAGCTTATATATATACCTGATTGGTGGTTAACAACTTATATATATATACCAGATTGACTGTTATCCACTTATACATATATAAAATTGATTGTTATCTACTTGTATATATATGAGATTAACTGTAATTAGATTATATATATATCAGATTGATGATTATTGGCTTATATATATACCAGATTGATGATTATTGACATATATATATACCAGATTGATGATTATTGGCTTATATATATACCAGATTGATGATTATTGGCTTATATATATACCAGATTGATGATTATTGGCTTATATATATACCAGATTAATAATTATTAGCTTATATATATATCAGATTGGCTGTCATCCACTTATATATATATCAAACCGGCTGTCATCCACATATATATAGCAGATCAGCTATTATCCACTTATATATATAGCAGATCAGCTGTCATCCACTTATATATATAGCAGATCAGCTATAATCAGCTTATATATATATAGCAGATCAGCTGTCATCCACTTATATATATATCAGACTGGCTGTCATCCACTTATATATATATCAGACCGGCTGTCATCCACTTATATATATAGCAGATCAACTGTCATCCACTTATATATATATCAGACCGGCTGTCATCCCTTTATATATATATCAGATTGGCTGTCATCCACTTATATATATATCAGACCGGCTGTCATCCACTTATATATATATCAGACCGGCTGTCATCCACTTATATATATAGCAGATCAGCTATCATCCACTTATATATATATCAGATCAGCTATAATCAGCTTATATATATATCAGATTGACTGTCATCCACTTAAATATATATCAGATCAGCTATAATCAGCTTATATATATATCAGATTGACTGTCATCCACTTAAATATATATCAGATCAGCTATCATCTACTTATATATATATCAGATCAGCTATCATCTACTTATATATATATCAGATCAGCTATCATCCACATATATATAGCAGACCAGCTGTCATCCACTTATATATATACCAGATCAGCTGTCATCCACATATATATAGCAGACTGGCTATCATCCACCTATATATATATCTGACCGGCTGTCATCCACTTATATATATATCAGACCGGCTGTCATCAACTTATATATATAGCAGACCGGCTGTCATCAACTTATATATATAGCAGATCAGCTGTCATCCATTTATATACATAGCAGATCAGCTATAATCAGCTTATATATATATAGCAGATCAGCTGTCATCCACTTATATATATATCAGACCGGCTGTCATCTACTTATATATATATCAGACCGGCTGTCATCCACTTATATATATAGCAGATCAGCTGTCATCCACTTATATATATAGCAGATCAGCTATAATCAGCTTATATATATATACACTGCAAAAGGAGGGCCAATTCAGTATACTAAATCTTGACCAAATACTTTCTGAATAAATAAAATTCAGCATGAATTCGATCGGAATTTATGATGCCAATTTTTTAAAATTCGTGAGCTAAATGAATACAATTAGTATACTGAATTTTAGGAACGCAAAAAGAAAAAGTGTGATATACTTTTATGTGATATATTTTGGGCATGAAAATATAGACGCACTTTTATCAGACCGCAGATTTTTCATTTTATATTGGTTTTGGGGTTTTTTTTAAATACAGCACATAACATTCAACATCTTTTTATTACTATATATGGGTTGTTAAAGAAGAGATTTGGTCAAGATTTGGTCAAGATTTAGTCAAGATTTAGAGGTTTATGGGTCATTTTAAAGGTTTTTATTGGTTTGAAAAAATTTTCTTATTGTTTCTAGCTGTTTCTATTCGTCTACATCACTAATCGTCTTCTGTTGCAATTGGGTAGAAACATCACACTCGATGCCGTCATTTATTTTAGTGGATACTATGTTATTCCTTTTGAACATCCATTGGTCCACGCCTGGTGCAATCGACCCCTACTGTATTCCATTGCTTGCTGCGGCACGCCTTCTTGGCCTGTTTGTTTACTTTTATAAAAAATAATTATAGGGTGGATTAGAAAGAATGTTCTAGGTATATTTATTTGAGAGCAACAGATTATTTAAAAAATATGAATGTACTTACAATAAAGTTAAACACGAGAACAGATGGATGTCTTTAACATAAAGATAGATATATCAACATTTTAGTTAAATGTCTCAATTATAGTAATATTGTCTATAAAAATAATAACTTTTGTTAATACGATGCAAAGTAAATAAGACTATGGTTTGCTTACCAGACAGTTCAGAAAACAGAAGAGTTGACAAACACAAAATACAATGACATTGTCTATAAAGTATAATCTTTTATTAGAATGAAATAAAGAGTATCAGACTATTTTTTGCTTACCAATTATTCAATACAATAGAAGAGGCAGCATACGGAAATGGAGATATTATCTATAAAATAATTTCTTTTCATTAGAATTACATACAAAGAAGTAGAATGATTATTTACTTACTTGTCTGTCTGTAGAGAATAAGAGTCGGTGTATAATCAAAAAAAGAGGACCGAGATAAAGACCAGTGACTATAAAGTGTATGGTATACATAAGAAAAATAATAAATACAAGTTGTATCTTGAAGGTGTACGTTAATATTTATACAACATACCATTTTGTAAATCCTCCCAAGGTATATGTCTTTGTTAACGGGCTAGAAATATCTAAGCAGAATAATTAATACATAAATCGTGAATAAATATTCAAGTATATTTTTATTACCTTTTTATCATTACTTTTGAGGCAGTTAAGAAGGACTTGGTGGTTTAAAGCATAGTGTATCATGCTAGAATAAAAACAACAAGATGATTAGGTCTTGAAATTTTGATGTGAGTTGATGCTTACCATGTTAGACATTAAGAAAGAAGTAAAGAAGAAGAAAGAAAAAATTAAAAAAAAAAAACGGGGAAATTCAAAATTATAATTTTATGACCATTGACCCTGAGAAACTGATAGAATCAATGGAGCAAATTGAAAGTCATTCAACCCATCCCGATTGAGACAAGACATTACGTACTAAACCATAATCTCTCACATCTTTGTAATGGATGTAAGCTATTACAAATGCCTTTCTAAGTCGGCTTATAAAGAAAAGTATAATATAGAGATCAAAATGCTATAAAGAGCATCATCAGAAAAATAATCTTTTGGTGCCTTACTTTCCACCTTTACGTATGTTTTGATTTATTTTATTATTTTAAAGAAACCCAACTCTAATTATTAAAGTATTCACATTGTTTCCATTTCTTTCATTAGCCTTAAATATCTCAATTCATGTCTTCTAATACGCAGCAATCCAAAAAAACGAAAAAGACGACTATAAAAAAGTCTGTTCAACAAACTGCTAGGACAGCAGCAAGCACAAGACAACGGGAAATTCTTCCCAGCTTGACAGTTAGCGCAGAGCTAGATTGTACTGTCCTGTCCACTTTGTCCACCATGAGCACCCGACTGAATGAATCTCATTCACTTCTGGAGAAGGTCTACCACAACATGGGAGCAACCAATGGCCAGAATAACAATTCGAACTATAGTCCCATTGGTCAGGCTCTTACTACAGGAGAATATATAAAGTACCGCCTTCCAACGGTTTCGGTAGGATATATACTAGTAATAGAATATTGCAAAGTTACTTACATTATATTTTGCAGAGATTGATCCGTTCTCAAACACGACAGTTCTGGCAACAATGTCATTGACGGTCAATGAGGGCGCCTTCTCGACATCCAACCGTCCCATTGCTGATGTAGTGCAGAGCTACACACATCAGCAAGCTGAAGTAAAGTCTGTTTCGTCTGCAGTTGTGGAAGAGAAAACCCGAAGACATATTTCGTATATGCTTCAAAGGGCAAAAGCTTTGCCAGAAAAGATAGCTCGACAAAATCGGATTTCTCGACGCCGGTCCAAAAAGAGAAACGTAAGTATAGTCAACAGTTTTTGTGTAAACTATTTTAACTTTTTTTTTCAGATTCTTGCAGACTACAAGGCAATTCACTTAGCTGACAAGGCAAACCTTGAGTCTAAGTTTGGTGAGACTGTCGTGGACCTTCTGGACTATGACATGTTGTCTGATATTGAGTCAGATGAGGAGAAAAATAAAACTAGATATACTCCTAGAAATAGACATCCCTTGGTAAGGCTCTCATGATAAAAGTTATTTTTTTTAATACTTCTAACTCAAAAGTATTTATATTATAATGCAGGTGGATGAATACTTTACTGTTTTGAAGAAACAGAGACTTGCTAACAAGGGACCAGACGTCATTGGCAATTCTGTCTATCCAATTATTTTGAGAAACACCGAGTTATCGAATAAGAAAAAGGCACGTGTTGCTGCTTGGATTCACACACACCAACAATAAATCGTTATTTTGTTTACAAAGTGCATATAGTACTTTAATAATTTTTATTGATTGTGTTGAATGATGTGGAGTAAAGTGGTAAAATATAATCAGGCGGTATTGTCAAGATGAGAAGCAATTAATATATAAGTAAAAGGAAAAAGAAAAAGACAAAATCAAAAATCAAAATAATAAATTATTATTTTATTTTATTTTATTTTATTTTATTTTAAAGTCAATTAATAAAAAAAATATATATACAAAGCAATTATTTAATTATATAATCCTGATTGTTTTATCCTCGTTTTTTTTTATTGGAAATTATAATACCAATATTAGCAAGAATATGTAATAAAGGCAAAGAGAATGGTAAATGTCGGGTATTAAATATACAAGTTTTTTTGTCTTTTATATTATTGATAAAAGCAAGAGAAATAAATAATGGTTTTTACTATTTGTTAATAGTTAAAAAAAACTAGTAATATAATTTACTATTGCTCTTTTAAATACTTAATAAAGAAGTAATATTAAAACTAAATAAGAATACAGAGATAAATAAAGCTAAATCTTTTTACAGTCAAAAAAACTTGTATTATAATTATTTATACTGGTAACCTAAATAGTTGTTATTTTTTTTATGTGACTACTTTTCTAGGCAGTGGAATAACCAGGTGCTTTTGCGTCCCACTCTGCATTTTATGCGTAGTCAACGCAAAGCACAAATGTAGACGATGCACTGGAATAATGCACGAAGCATCTTCTTCCATAAATCCCTTGTCCCACAACTGCAGACCTTGATCAGCTAATGGCTGATGACTACTTGAATGGTAGGCGGGAAACCATTTAATGAATGCGAACATTGACACTCTTTTGACTCCACCTATCTTAATGGTATGAGTAAATAAATACTCTATTTGACCAGGGAATTCAGATACATCGTCATTTGTTCTCTCAAGAAACAATACCCTCACAAAAGACCCGCGCTTCTTCTTTTCACCACTGCAGTACTCTTGCCCCAGCAACGAAATCTTCTTCACCTTTTGAATCCGATTGTTCACAAATACATCCTCACCAATTGGGATTCTCTCTACCACACAGAAGGAAACACTTGTACTCCGGTAAGCCTTGACATAGAATTCAAATAACCACTGATAGTGATCATCCTTCATCATAGTTAAAGGCTGCAACTTGATTGGCAATGTGGTCGGGGGCAAGGCCTCACTTCCGGTGACATTGTACCATGAATTTATAGCAGCTTGCTGGAACATTGCTAAGCTAAATGGCAACGCAGGAGGGTGGCCAGCATCCAAATTCAAGGGAGAAGAGCTGTTGGAATTTGATTTTACTTGGGCAACCCCCTCAAGGAACTCTATCAGTGGTGATGAAAGATTGGTAGAATACGCTCGAAGAAAGCTACTAATGAATACTTTCTCCAGGAAGACTCTCATGATGGTGACCTCAAGACCATTGCGACGGTTCGTCTTGATATTCTTCAACTTGCCGTTGTATCTCTCGAAGCTATACAGCCAGAATGCGTATACCGGACCAAAATTAAGCATTGACTCACGCAAGTGCATATGCAAGTGCATATTTGGTGTGATGCTGCTCTCTCCATAAAGAGTCTCACACTCTTTTCCGAATTCTCCAAGGAGCTGGTGTGCACTGTCAATTTCTGAATATGTGACTGAAGGACCGGTCAACTTTCGGCATGCTTTTACAAAGAGAGTCCAGTTTTTGTAGTCGTCTTCAGGCAAAGCGTCTTTTAGTACCACCAATGAATAAATCAGACACCACGACCACCACTCGTCTGCCTTCATATACGGGAAACCAGATTCGATCTTTGTTGATAAAACGGCATACCCAGGAGGAACAAGAATACTATCGGCAAGACGTTGCATACGGACGAGAACAGCAGTTGGGAGATACCTCAGGTCTTTCCAAACACTGATCATACGCTTTGCTGTCCCAAGAAACAAATTGTGCATGGGATCAACAATCGTGCATCGGACGGGATCAAAGTAGTGTAGGCGATGCAACTCGGAAAAACGGGTGCCATGCTGCTTCTCCAAAACAGCTCTCTCTGCATCAGATTCTGCGCAGAACCACATCTCAGCTTCGGTTGCATTTTCCTCTTTTGTTCGGGAGACCCAGTTCTCATGATCAAATCCAGAATAATTGATCTTACTTGTTCCAGCAACAACAGTGAAATGACGCTTGCATATGTGACAGGCATTTGTACTTGCAAATCCTGTAAATCCAGCAGTCTTTCTTGCAGCAGATATGTCGCAAGCAACACACATAAGAGCAGCGCGGATACTAGTACCATTGGGGAACTCTGGAGTTTTGATAGTTATACCGCCGTATAACTCTACCAGCTTGTCTACCAGAGGTTCCAAGAAGTTGTTCATCTGGTCGATCTTCGCTTCCTTTGGACCAGGCATGACACCGACAAGGATAATGTTTTCCGGCTTCATTCTTTCTTCCCTAGGCAGGTTGTTCATTGACAGGTACAAGGCCCCACTTGCATGTGTACGACCCTCGAACGATTGAAACCAATCCACATTCAATGTCAACATCAAAGAATGGTCGTGATTCACAAAAGGCTCGTCATTTTCATCAAGGAGCTCAGACCACATTGCACCATTATAGACGTCCAACAAGGTACTGTTTACAGTTTCCCTCGATCTCCATTGAACGATTTGATGCTTGAACCCAGGTTTGGCGAAATGCTGTGCCAATGCATTCTTGAGCGAGTTGTATGGAAAAACCATGAGAGGGACAGCACGATCAGCTTCGGTGTCAGAGAAAAGAGGATTTCCGCAGTATGTTGGTGGTGTAGTTGTGTATTTTTCGAATGTGCAATTTGGTTGGCGATTGCCTGGTAGGTAAATTGCAAAGCACTTGTTGCAGACGGTGTATTTGACAATGCTTTTTGTCATGAAATTGAAGCCGGTCATAGTCTTTAATGCATCAATGATGAGTGGGAGATCGGTATCCTTATCAAAGGCAACAAGAAGATGGCAGAAGAATTTCAACATAGCAGTTCCACCTGCTTGAACCAAGTAAAACGCCTGAAAAATAAGGCCAAATAGAGCCATGAATTGGCTTGTTTGAGACATTTCATGAATTTTCAAAGAAGCAACTACAAAGGCAAGTATTTCTGTTAATTATTTGTAACACAATTTATGTATATTTCTTTTTTAAATGTATGCATACCAGAAGCAACCATGTCTTCAAAATCTTCAACACCGGCAACCTCAACTTCGCTCTCATCTTCAGACTCATCGCTTGAATCAGGATTGTCATTGTCAGAAGCCAATGATGTTGTCTTGACATCAGACTCTTCGAATTGAAAAATCTCATCTTCTCTCAAAAAAGGTACACTCTGTACGGTAGTTTTGGCTGATACAATAGAATAATTGTCTTCATCTATAGTAAAACCAGACTATTAGCTATCTAAATTATGATTTATTAAAAAGAAATTTTATACTCACAATCAATCGATGTTTCAGATACATCTACCATCTCAACGTTTGTCTCTTCTTCGACAACTTCTGTATTAATTAATAATTAACAAAAAAAATATTAGATTACAATTTATCCAGTAATGCGTGTACTACTCAAATGTCATTTACCTCGATTTTTTGGGCCAATGTCTAATAACTTATCAGCATTATTATGACGCTTAAAGGTCTGTGCATTTTGCAAAATTCCGCCAATTGCATTTTTGGTACATGATGAACATGTACACATAACAGTGTAGATTTTAGTTGTAGAATTCATAACAGTAAGAATAATATTAATAATAATAAAATAATAAAGAGGTGTATACTATATTTTATTTTCATCTTTTATATGTCTCTTATTTTTGTCATTAATAATGAGTTGATATATCTTGTTCACTATGTCATTGACTACATTGAGCTTACCGTCCCTATTAGTAAGAGTTACAAATGGATTTTGATGCAGCAATCTTTTCTTAAAAAAAATGTGCCTGATTATTAATGGGGCTTCAATTTCATAATCACTGATATAATGGCGTAGTTTTTCTCTTTTGCGTTTTTTTAACATGACATCAATTCTCACTCATTTTGGCAAGTCGCATTTTTTGGATTTTCTTTTTCTTGTATTTTTTATGACATCAATTCTTGTTCTTTTTTTCAATTTTTTTTGATATACTTTCTTATTAAAAATAAGTCATATATCATACATTATTATATTCTAATAAAATTCGGTATTTTTTGCGATGCAATAAAAATATTATTGACTCTAAATTAAGTGCATCTGTAACAACAAGTTTTTCCTTCCAGAAAAATAATTAAATACTACATTTAACATTTAATATTTTATTTTTATTTTTTATTTTTCTGCCAAGTCAATCGAAACATATATTTTTTAAGACAATTGTGCGATTTATTGCCTAATTAATAAATATTTGTGTTTGTATCTGTGTTTATTTAATATAATCAGAAAAAATTGCGAATTCCCATCTCAAGAAAAAAATATATTGAAAAACGATAGTGTTTGAAATATTTTTCCAAATTTTGCCAAAATTCAAAAAATAAAATTCGACCAAATCCACCCTCCTTTTGCAGTGATATATGCCAGATCGGTAGTCAACAGCTTATATATATGCCAGATCGGCAATCAACAACTTGTATATATGCCAGATTGGCGATCAACAATTTATATATATGCCAGATCAGTGGTCAACAGCTTATAATTATTCTAGATCAACTATCAATAGCTTATATATATATGAGATCAGCTATAATTAGTTTATATATAGTGGTAATTAGTTATTATCAGCTTACATAATCTTGTATAATATGGTATAATTATATATAGGTACATATAAAAGAATTTAAACATATATAAAAATATAAAAAATAAAGTTTGTGTAACATACGTCATTATGCATATTCGCATAATGTAAACAATACAATTGCATTGCTGAAAAAAATTAATAACTTTTGGCTATACTTGTTATATAACGTGCATAATTATGCATAATCTCGCATAAATGATCTACGTAAACAATACAATTGAATTGCAAAAAAAAATTGGCAACTTTTGGCTATTCTTGTTATATAATATGCATAATCATGCACAATCTTGCATAAATGATCTACGTAAACAATACAATTGAATTTGTGAATAAAAATAATAAAGAATAGCTTTTTTCCGGAAAATTTCCTTTTTTGGTTAGTCTGAATATAATTAGCGTGAGAAGTCTTGGCATTTTTAGTGTGGGAAGATAGGTTATATAAATAGCAACTATGTAAAAGCTTGGCATGGAAAAACATTTAACTTTAAACTATCAAAAAGCCGTTCCGACAATAATTAAATATATCTCTTCTAATGAAAGTTCAAATTCTTACTAAGTAATAATTTTTTAATTTTTTTTGCTATATCAAGAAAATTTAGTAGTATAATATAAAAGTATCAAAATATGTAAACAGTAAGTACAGAATTAATAAAAATTAATTTTCATATTTTTTTTACTAATTTTCTTATAAAAATCAAAATATTATTATATAAATCAATAAAAAAATATATGAACAAGTCAAGTTATTAATATTTATTATAATTTTAATGTATTTATATACTATATATATATATATAAAGATTATAAAAGAGTTGTGAGTATATATAACATTAAAGATTAAATATGATTAGAGTATGTAACTTATATTTGACAAGATGATCGGATATGACTTGGACATTGACAAGTGTGAATATATATAATGTAATAGATCCAATGGTATTGACTAATTTGAGAGATACATAAGATGTTATAAGCTAATATTAGTAATAAATCAAATGTTATTGGCTAATATTAATTATATATTATATTTTATTAACTTATATAAGTAGTAAATTGAATGTGATATATATATATTTATAATACAGATTAACTGTTATTGATTTACATATATATCAGATTGGCTGTGATCCACTTATATATATATCAGACTGGATATCATATGTTTATGTATAGTGCAGATCACCTGTTATCAGCTTATACGTATATACAATTGGTGGACAACAGCTTATATATATACCCAATTGGCAGTCAACAGCTTATATATATACCAGATTGACTATTATCAGATTATATATATATCAGATTAGCTGTGATCCCCTTATATATTTATCAGATTGGATATCATATGTTTATATATAGTGCAGATCATCTGTCATCAGCTTATATATATACCCAATTAGCAGACAACAGCTTATATATATATCAGATTGGATATCATATGTTTATATATAGTGTATATCCTCTGTCATCAGCTTATATATATACCCAATTAGCAGACAACAGCTTATATATATATATTAGATTGGCTGTGATCCACTTATATATATATCAGATTGGATATCAAATGTTTATATATAGTGCAGATCACCTGTCATCAGCTTATATATATACCCAATTGGCGGTCAACAGCATATATATATACAAGATCGGTGGTCAGTGCTTATATATATACTAGATTGGTAGTCAATAGCTTATATATATATCATATTGACTGTGATGCACTTATATATATGTTAGTTTGGATATCATATTTTTATATATTGTGTATATCTTCTGTCATCAGCTTATATATATACCTAATTGATAGACAACAGCTTATATTTATATCAAATTAGCTGTCATCAGCTTATATGTGTATGAGATAGGCTGTCAATAGTATGTATATATATACCTGATTGGTGGTCAACAATTTATATATATACCAGATCAGCTATCATTAGCTTATATATATATCAGATTGAGTATCATATGTTTACATATAGTGCGGATCACATGATATCATCTTATATATATATTAAATTGACTATCATAAGCTTATATATATGTTAGATTGATAGTCAACAACTTATATACCCAATCAGCATTCAACAGCTTATATATATACCTGATTAGTAGTTAATAACTTATATATATACCAGATTGACGGTCAACTACTTATATATATATCTGATTGGTAATCAACAACTTATATATATACCAGATCAGTAGACAACAACTTATATATATACCAGAGCAGTAGTCAACAACTCATATATATATCTGATTGGTGATCAACAACTTATATATATAACCAATTGACAGTTAACAACTTATATATATATCAGATTGACTGTCATCAGATTATATATATATAAGATTGACTATAATTATATTATATATATAAGCTAATCAATCATAATTAATTTATATATATATAAGATTGTCTATAATTGATTTACATATAATGTAAATTGACTGTAGTCAGCTTATATAACATTGTATAATCTTAGATATTTGGATATAAACATATATAAAAAATATAAAAAAATAAAGTTTATATAACATATATTATTATGCATTTTTGCATAACTTAAACAATACAAATAGGCTGAACAGTAAAATAGACTAACACGCCCTTTTTAAAAAAATGTTTTTCTAAAATTCTGAAATTTTAATATGTTGTAGTTAGAGTTTTAAAAATGCAACAATTGTTTTTCTGAAGTTATACTGCTGTAGCCAATATAAAGATATTGCCTTTTTTGGAAATAACAATATTTCTAATTCATATATACAGTTTGTACACATAGCTTCAATATCTTTATGCAGATAAATTTGTATTGTTGTGTGTGGTATGTAGTTGTGTGTAGAAGATGTAAAATAAAAAATAATTGTATATAAGAAGATGAATTGAAAGGAGGAATTGAGAGTTTGGGTTTGATATCAGATAAATTGAGATAATAAAATAGTCTCTTTGTTGCAATATAGACCAGTTAAAGAAATAAAAAGGGAAACTAACACTAAGATAAGAGTGTAAATAATTTGAATGATTAGACAAATGGTTAAACTAAAAGAAGTGAAATAGATAATACTAATTCTAAAGAGTTAACTATGAGAAAGAAATGTTTAATAGAGTAAAGGATTTAGCTAAAGGGAAATTTACTATAGTAAATTTACTAAGAGATAAATAAAAGAAGAAATTGGGACAAAATAATAAATAAAAAGGAAATGATCAATCTTCTACAAAGACTAGACAAAAAATAAAATAAAATGGAAGAAATTTCACAAGATAGATCAGAAAGAATAGACAGCATCTGAAAGAAAACTTGTATCAGAAAAATTTGACTGTTGTTTATTGATTGATTTTAAAGAGATATTTATACTATTTTATGGATAAAATATATAGCAAAAATAGGCTAGATAAAACTTGATGAGATAATCGTAAAATAAAAATATAAAGAAAAATAACTATATAAATATTTTTTCATAAAAGAAGAAATAGCTGAAGTTAAAATATATAACTACAAGAAAAGAAAAATATCAGAAAAAAGTATGTTATTAATAAAGAGAAAAGCTATTCAGTTAACAATTTTGGTAAAGTAATGTTTGAGAGGAAGCGTCACATTTAGTGTACAGAAATATGATAAAAAGAAAAGGAACAAAACAATTTTGGGAAAAATAAAGCAGAAAGATTTTAATTTTCAGAAAATTGGTTTTTGGAAAAAAATGATTTTGTGAAAATGGAAGAAAGAAATTAAAATTAAAATTAAAATTAAAATTTTTGAAGAAAAATTAAAAGAGGTTTTCAAAAAAAGTCTGAACTTGATAGAATTTGGTTTGTAGACTGAGGCCAACAATGTGACCACACCACTTGTCAGTTGACGCGTGATGTGTTTTTTTATTGTGAATTGTAACATTATCACTTGGCAAATAAATATAATGTGAATTACAAAATACAAGAAGAAGAATACAATAAGAATGGAAAAGAATGGGTAATTTGACAGGTAAGAATTGGTGACAGAGAGATAAAAATAATAGGGAGAAAATAAAAATGGAAATTGTGATAACAACAAAGTTTGAGAAAGACAGAAAAGAGAAAACAGAGAAACGAAATATATCAAGATTGACAGTCAAAACTCCAAAGAACAAGGACACTGTGTATGAATGAAGAATAATAATAATAACGGACAAAAAAAAATAAGATCAAGAATAGAATGATGATTTTATTGATTGAAAAGTTTATCCCTTTTATAAATAAAAATGTTTGGTTAAAATAATTTTTTGAGAAAAAGAAAAGAAAGTCAAGTGAAAATTTTTACTATATGCAACTAGTGTTGATAGTAGAAGTAGAATAGAAAAATATAAAGAGAGTAAAATAAAAGTATAGTAAAAATATAATAATTGAATAAAGATAAAGTAAAAATATAGTGAGGTAGAATAGAACAAGTAAAGTAATAATATAATAATGTTGTAGTAAAATAAAATAAAAAATATAATAATAGTATAATAATGGAATCTAATAAAATGTAATAAAAAATAGTGTAAATAAATGTTGGCAATAAAGAAGTATATGAAATTAGGGGAAAGAGGTATAATGTTTTTAGTAGGTGACATGTGTTCCTGAGGTGACGATATAGATGAGTATTCTAATTTTAAGAAATGGGATTATATTGGGGGGTTTAGGTATAAGGGGTATTGGGAGCAAGATTTCCCAAGATACCTGGGTAGACCACTCTTGTCCCTCGAGACATGTCACTGGGTCTACTCACCATCAATGTCAGCACCCACAAGTCTGGTACTGCACATCACGGCTCACCACCGGACTAAACCACCAAAGAAATTCACCATTCAGTATCAATCACCAGAAACTAGCCAAAGCCGGACTTGCTCACAACACATATGACACAGTTGACAGATGATGTGTTAGGTTTGTTGTAGATTATAACGGATCACTTGGCAAATAAAATACAATGATAATAGAATAGAACAGAAGACGGATACAGCAAGAAGCAGCAAACAGCATTAGTTGACAGGTAAGAAAAGAGAGAACAACTGAGAGAATCGTTGTTAAAATTGAGAGAGAGAAAGATATATGAAAAGAAAATGACAAAACAGAAAAGTAATAACTGACAAGGAGATTAAAACCGACAAACAACCTTTCTAAAACCAAGGAATCAATATGTTATGTCACAAGATGGTATAGACAACAAAGAGAAGAAAACAAGAAAAAGATACTGAAACTGAATTAATGATTTATTGAGTTGAGTTTGTTTCTCTTTTTATAGTCGACAAGATTTTAAGTTGATAATAGAAGTTTGAAAAAATAAAGATAGTAAAAAATAGAATAATCAATAATCAATACGGCAAGAATAAAATATATAAATAAAAATATGGTAAAAAAATATAATAATAAAGGTACTGATGTTGCGCGGAGATGTTGACAAGATGAATTATTTGCATTGTAGAAGGGAAATGTTACAAGCATGGGGGACCATGATTTCGAATGAGTACAATGTTGACAAATATGTTAACAAGAGAAAACCAAAAAATATTGTGTATAGAAGGAGCAGAGAACAGAAATGAGATTTTTCCTATTCGCAGAAAAATTCTCCTCGTACTACCTAGGGAACAGCATCACATCAACATACCGTTGACGTCAGCCTCTCATAACTAGGATGACATGTCACAACAAACTGCCAGACAAACCCGCCGAGCAGACTGACCTTTTGGTACTGGACATCACAACATAGTCAAAAGCAAGACCTGGTCACAACACACGTGACACAGTATAACAAGTGTTTTGGCACAATAGTATATTTTTGCGCTTTCACTCCCACAGTCAGAGTTTAAATCTGGTTGTAGTCTTTTTTTTATTTCATTAAAAATTAAACATTATTATATTTATGTGACTGTAGATAGTGATTTTATTTATGACAGCTAAATAAAACAGTCTAAAAATTAAAATTTTTGAAAATAATATAAATATCTTTTTTTTTATTATTTCTTTCTTTCTTTCTTTTAATATTTATATTTTATTTTTATTTTTGATTATTTCATATGCCCAACTATTTTCAACCAAAAGATATGTCAATCACACCAGACTTTGAACAAATTCATAAAATTACTGAGTCTAAGAAGACTTCTGTTATGTAAGTTGTATTAATCAATAATTCTTTAAATATATATTAATTATAATAATTTATATATATATTTTATATTATAGTTATCTGAAAGAAAATAATATTCTCTATGAGCACATGTCATATTGCAATGAATGGCCTATGACTTTACAGTGTCATAACAGTAGAGAGAAGTTTTACTGCAAGTGCAATTCCAGAAACTGCTGTAACAGAAGTGAAATGTCTATCGGAAAAGATACTATCTTTTCTTTTAAAAAGAGGACTTTAAATATTATGATATATCTTATTTGGTGTTTCATCTTGAATTATCTATTGAATAAGACTGAAGAAGCAACCAAACTGAGCAAAAAGACAATTGTTATTTTTATGGCAGGTATTCAAAAAGTTATTTGTCAAGATATCAGTAGTAATGACATTTTGATTGGTAAGTAAAATATAATATATGTTTTATTAATAAATTCTAATAATATTATACGAGGAGAAAGAATTACTGTTGAAATTGATGAGTCTAAATTTGAAAAGTGAAAGTATAATAAAGAGCATAGAGTTGAAGGTATTTGGGTTCTGGGGTGTTGAGCAGACATCAGAAAGAAAAATCTTTTTGGTAGCTGTATCAAATAGAACTGCTGACAATTTTTTGAATATTATCCAACATCATGTTCTATCAGGCTCTATCATTCACACTGATTATTTTAAATTATACAATCAATTAGAAACACTGAAATATAGACATTCAACAGTAAATCATTCCGTTGAATATAAAATAAGTGAAGGTGTACATACCAACATAATTGAAGGTAATATTAAAACATTTTAAAAGAAATTATTATTAATAATTTATTAAGTACTTCAAATGATGTAAGGCAGCAAATGGTCTCAAGATCAAAAACCAAAAAAATAGTATCATGAAAATTAATGCAGTTTATTTGGAGGCGCAAGCATACTGGAAATCTTTGGATATATCTATTATAAACTTTTGCCAGAATTTCTATTGTCAGACAAATAAAGGATAATAATATCAGCTTAGAACAGCAACTTTTGCTAGATCTTGATCCAGACTATGAAACATATTTCACAGAAAATGAATCATCTTCTTCCGAAAATAAAAATGCTATCAGTAGTGATAGTAATAATACTAGTGATAGTACTGATGACAGTAATTTTATTTTGTAAATTTTTTTATTTGTTTTTTATTATTTTATTTTTAATATTTTTATTAAAACCATATATTTATCCTGTTTACTGAGTATATTCATATTTTTTATATTATTTGTAATAATAATTATAGAAAACATTAATTTAATTATTTAATTAATTAAATAGATATTTTATATACTGATTCCATATTAGCTTCAAACTAATCACAATATGTATATATTTTTATTTCTGATAAATTTAACAGCTGACAATCAAAACTATTATATTTTTTTACTGGTTTAATAAATAATGAAAAAATTGAAATTTTTTATTGATAAATTTATATTTATTAAATCTGTAGAATTCAGATCATAAACTAATTGTCTTAGAAATTTATAACTTAGGTCAAATATTAATCTGAATTAATATTAACAAGTAGTTAATATAAAAAACAAATACATATTTTTAAGTTATTACAAATAATATAATATAAAGATGTTTTTCTTAAAATATATTAATAATAAAAATGAATATTTCATAATATTTAATAATTGTTTCTAAGAAGAAAAATATGGAAAAAATATAAAGTATCAAAGTAAAGTAGTATTTTTAACACATATAGAAACTTCTGATATTCTCATTAAAAATAAAAACTGTATAAAAGTTTTTGTTATATTACTTTATATATATTTAAGTTTCTTTTATTTATATTTGCATCTAATATTACCAAAATACTTTAATTAGTTAATTTTTATAAAACTATATATTATACAGACAAAATTGTTTTTTTTAAAATTTACTATCTTCATTTTCCAAATCCAGTTATTAAAACTAGTATTTTCTGTTTAAAATGTTTTAATTAAGTAGATAGTCTCATTAAAAGTACTAAACTACTGATCTCAAAAAAAAACAAATCATGTCTCACATTGCTCTCCTGACATATTCTGCTCATATTTTTTTTTAAATATATCAAATGAATAAGTTGTATTTTTATAAAAGTATATTTACATTCACTACAATTTATAGACAATATAGAAGATTCATATACACATATATTCTTTATGAGATTTTTTTATTTAATATTAAAAAATAATAAAACTCTTATAAATTGAAATTGAAACAAGTCTTCGAAATTTTAAAATAATTTTGATTCTCAAAAAAATAACTTTGAGTTCACTTCCAACGTTGATTTTCAAAAATTGCAACTTATAAACATCTCTATTTTTCTGGCAAGTTCAGAATATTTAAAAATATTATATAATTTAGCTGCAAAAACTTTCAAATTATTAATAAATAAATAATATTAATATTTACACCATTATCTAAAATTATTTTATATTACTTGGGTAATATATATTGTTATATCTTATATAATTATCTATTAAAACAGAATATGTATCAAATAAGATACATAGATATTAAATAAATAACTACTATACATTATAGCTTATTTTTTAAACTATTAACAATTAAAATAAAAAACTAATCCTAAAATCAGATATATTATATAGAATAAAGAAAACAAATATTATATAATATTCTTATTATATTATTTAAATAAATATATAATATCAACATCAATATGTAAAACAAATACTAAAAGAAAAAACTTATTTTTTATAAAATCACACAAACAAAGTCTCAAAATACTTATTAATGCAGTCAGTTTTTTTTTAAAATTGATATACAAATTAAATAATACACAAAGTTTACAATAAGTGTTAATTTGTTTTTAAAAAAAATGAAAAGAAATTGAGAAGCTGTCTCATATAATCTGTATATCTATATTATTAATATATATATATCAAATTTCATGTTGAAGAAAACTAAAAAATATCAAATATAAAACATATTATTTCTTATCAAGTATTTTTATATACTTGAATTTTAGTAGAAGAAAATATTAAATATGCTTTGATTTATATTTAGTTTTTGTATTCTATAAAAAACACAAATAAAAACGCAGATAAAAAGAATTTACTTTAAAAAATAAAAGAATAATTTCTCTATACAAATAAATATATCTATAACATAATAAGTATTTTTTAAACTAACTTTTACCAACTTATATTATATATATTAAAAATAAAAAACAAATTTTAAGATTTTTATTATAAAATTGACTTTTATTTAATCAAAAATCAAAGGACAGACAAAATATTTTATGAGTACCATTAATTCTCCAATCAGAAAAGAAAGTCGAAACTTAAAAAACTTTTGGATTTTGATTTTTTTATACAGAAAATTTTAAAAAAAAATAAAAATTAAAAATAAAATAAAAAAAGATAGTAGTTCATAATATATAATTGATAATTGATAATAAAAAAAAGTAATAAAAAAAAATTATCTTTGTTGAGGTGGACGCGATTGAGAGGGGAAGCCATATTTTGTCAGCTTATTGTATGCAAACTTCAACGTATTTAAGAACTTGCTCACATCTTCTGAGATTTCCATGTACGCGGCTATCTTGCTGTCAAGTTCAACCGAGTATAATTGATAATAGTTTATGATATCAGCTTCTATCTCGTCAGAAAGAAGGGAAGTGTCAACTACTGCTTTAGTATCAGTATTAGATACATGGACAGCAGAGGAGGAGGAGGAAAGACTTTGGCACAAAGAGTAAGGAATATCTAGCATGCGATTGATGAGAAAGATATGCTTGCAAAGCTTAGAAGTATCAGGGCAAGTGCAGTTTTGCAGAAAACCATTCTGTAGCTCAATGTTGTATATAACAAGATCAACTGTGAATGATCTGCAAGTGAATACAGTATCACTCAATTTCTCAACCATTTCCATTGCAGTATAGCTATCTAACATGTATATATTTTGTCTTTTTTGCTCTTCTTGGCATGTAAGGTCTACTAATTAGAATTCATATAATATCTTGACGTTTTCTTGTTTGTAGTCAAGAGTCAAGACTTTGGCCAGAAGATAAATAAGTTTATCTACTCGAAGAGATCTTGCATGTCCAAAATAAAAAGTCTTCAGCTGATTGTAATAAGACTCTATCAAATTATTGGTGTGAAAAGTTGTCGCCTATTGTTTATATTATATATTAGAAACAGGCAAATAATCAATAAAGTTTCATATCAATCACTATACTTTGCACCATAATTCTTTTTTCTGCACCCACATTCAGTTAAAATACAAAATAAAGTCCTCATATTCCCCAAATTTCATAAGAAATTTATTATAAAGTGTATCATAGGCAACAGAAGTTGTTGCATGCATCATATTACTCAATACAGCATGAATAATGTTACAA